CTCGACCCATGCCCCAGGGCAAGCTGTTCGGCCAGAGCCTCGCTGGGCCCCTGCAGTGGGCACCGGCGACCAAAGACTGCCCAGGATCCGGGAGCCTCGAGACGGGGGCCCATGCAAGCGGGGGTCCGCCAGAGCGCCCGATCTTGCAGGGTCCTGCAGGGCCAGGGGCGCACCGACCCGGGCTTGGGTGCAGGATCCTGCAGGGTCCTTCGCATTGACCCGGGTCTGGGTGCAGGATCCTGCAGGATCGTGCAGGATTCTGCAAGGCCTGACTGACCCGGGTCTGGATGGACCCGGGTTTGAAGGACCCCGAAAGATTGCCCAACACCTTGCGTCGTGCTCTTTTCGGCGGCGAGCGAGGGAGGGAAGTGAGATGGGCAAGGCCTCTTCAGAAGGCTCGGAAGTCACCCGGCCTTCCCGAGAAGTGTTTCAAGTGTTCCCCGAAGACGCAGAACACTTCTCGGCAGGCCGGAGGGCTTCTGAGAAGCCCCGCCGCCTCCTGAGAAGGCTTTTTCCTTCTCATTTCCCCCCCTCGCTCGCCGCCGGCCTCTCGCGACGCCGAGGGGGTCCGTGCCCCCTCCGGCGGTGCGCCGCTTCGGCCCGAAGGTCTGGTGGGGCTCTCGCCGCGGCGAGGGCGCCGGCCCCGGGAGACCCGAAAAACGGCAGACGAAAGAGCGCCCGAAGCCTCGACTCGGCCAGACCGAGGAGGAGGAGGAGGAGGAGAGAAGGAGGAGGGGGAGGAGGAGGAGGGGGAGGAGGAGGAGGAGGAGGAGGAGGAGGAGGAGGAGGCGGAGGAGGAGGAGGAGGAGGAGAGGAGCAGGAGGAGCAGGAGGAGGAGGAGGAGGAGGAGGAGGAGGAGGAGGAGGAGGAGGAGGAGGAGGATGAGGAGGCAGTGGGTCGGCGGCGAGCCCGGGGGGGAAGCAAGAAGGGGCGGGCCTGCTCATCACCACCCACCACACCACCCCAACCCAGCCCGAAGGCCTCCAACTGACCTCCCTTTCCAGTGGGGGGGGGGGGTCGGGGAACCTCGAGAAAGCACATATGGAACCCGTGCCCCCCCCCAACCCGAAATTCGGGTCTTCGGGTTGGGTTGGGGTGGTCTGGTCGGTAGTCAGCTCGGAAGGCTCCGGAGTCCCCCGGCCTTCCATCAGAAGTTCTCCAAGCCTTCCCCGAAGACGCAGCCAGCCTCTCAGACTGCGCGAGGGCTCCTGAGACGCCCCGCCGCCTTCCGAGAAGGCCTTCTCCTTCTCATTTCCCCCCTCGCTCGCCGCCAACCAGCACCCTGCGTTTAAGTGGGGCGTGTCCCCCTACAGGGGGATTTTCGACGAAAAATATATAAATACCCCCAAAATAGTCAAACAATAATGCAAACATAGTCTGGGGACTATTTGTTGATTATGTTTGACCTTGTTGGGGGTATTTTCAGAGTATCTTTTTCATTTCTCATCGAAAATCCCCCTGTAGGGGGACACGCCCGACATAACCATGCGACGTGCGCTGCTGCGACGCCCCCTCGCTCGCCGCCAGCCAGCACCCTCGCTGGAGAAGCAAGAATGCCTGAGATGGCCTCAGGACGGCCAAAGACGCCCGCAGAGGGTTCCAAAAGCACTCCCGAAGAGTGCCTCCAGCGTGTTCTTCCTTCTCGTTTCCCCCCTCGCTCGCCGCCAGCCAGCACCCTGCGTCGTGCTCCGCTGCGACGCCCCCCTCCGGGGGCGCGCGCTCCGGCCAGCAGCCTGAGGGGAGAGCCTCGCCGCGGCGAGGGCGCCTTGCCGTGAGCTGCTCGCCTTGGGGACCTCCCCGGGGCCCTCCTCACGTGAAGTCGGGCCTGGCCCCCTACAGGGGGATCATTCGACGAAACATAAAAAAATGCCCCCAACATACCCCAAAGAGGTCAAAATATACTCAACAACTAGGCCCCAGACTATTTTTTGATTATTGATTGATTTTTTGTTTGGGTATTTTTTAGTTTTCCGTCGACAATTTCCCTGTAGGGGGTCACGCCCGACTTAATCCTAACGTTAAGTCGGGCCTGTCCCTCTACAGGGAGGATATCCAAAAATAATAAGAAAATTGTCAGGGGACTTTTTTCTGAGTATTTTTTGACAACTTAGGGGCATTTTTGGGGTGTTTCTAATTTTTCGTCGAAAATCCCCCTGTGGGGGGGACACGCCCGACTTAATTCTAACGGATCTGTTCGACCCCAGTTCGACTCGACGCCGACTCCAGTTCGGCTCCAGTTCGGCCCGGGTTCGGCTCAGGGTCGACTCGAGCGGGCGGCCGTGCGTCGCAGCTTCGGCGCACGACTGGAGCGACTGTCGCCAGGAAGGCCCCCAGAGTGAGCATCCAGCGAACCTGCAACAAACGTCAAGCGCCCGAAGCCTCGACTCGGCCTGGCCAGGACAGTGGAGCAGGGAGGCGGAGGCAGTTGGGTGGCCTCCCGCCGCAGGAGCCCGCGTACCCATCGGTCGTTGAAACTGAAACTAGGTGATTCGGGATTTCCATGCACCAATCTATTGTAATGGCCTCGGGCCAGTGCCGCCGACCCAGGGGGCTCCAGATTGGGTGATCTTCGCGGCTCTGTGGCCTCCTCCAGATGGGGAGCCGCCCCCCCCCCTCCCCCCCTTCCCCGGCAGAGCCACCCCGGCGACCCCCCCCAAACAGCTGGGACCCCCCGAAACATGTTGCGGATGCGCAAGTCATTAAGAAAACGCCATGCAGATGGGGGACCGCCCCCCCCCCCCCCTTCCCCGGCAGAGCCACCCAGGCGACCCCCCCCCAAGCAGAGCTGCAGCTCTGGTTTAGGCTCAGAGCTGAAGCTCTTGCTGAGGCTCCTTGTAGCTTACACGCCAGATCAGCGGGTTTTAAGCGCCTTCCTACTTCAATGATCGAGTGGCTTCACCTTTGTCGTCCGCCTTATAGGGGGCGGGCGGAAGCCAAATCTATCTCCAACGCCTTCCTACTTCATGTTTCTACCTACTTCTTCCGACCGATGGGTGCCCATGCCGCGCCTCGAGGTGCGGGTCAGAACGCACCCCGGGCGAGTTCCGAGGAGCAGCGGCACGGGTACCCGTGGCTTCCCCGGTAGCTGTGGCCCCCCCTTGCGATTCTCGACCTGTGGCCCTCGATGCCCTCGCGGCGCAGGGCCGCTGTGCCCTCGCGCGTGGGATCCGCTTTGTCCCCGTCGCCCACCCGTTTTTTTTTTTTTGTTCGCAGGCGCCCTCGGGCCCGAGTCGTGGGCGAGGCCTGGCGTCCAGCATCTGCTGTCCGCTCCGCCGTGCCGCCCGTGCTCCGGGAGTCGCAGGCCACCCACGGGAGCCCAGACACCATCGCGCCCGTCGGAGAGGAAGCAGTGGCATCTACTCCAGATGTCGTGATAAAAAGGGAGGGGGTCTGGACCCTCCAAGACAAGCCATTTCAGACCCCCCCCCCCGTGGGAGAACCCTCCAAAACATCGTCCCCAGACCCCCCCAGGCCCTCCAAGATAGCCTGGACGAGACCCCCCCCGAAATGAGACCCCCCTCCCTTTATTACGAAATCTGGAGTACATCAAGTTTCGGGGATCCGCGCGGATTTCTCGGATCCGCGCTGGGGACCCCGCCTCCAGCTCCGCCCCTGGCGCGCTCCGCGCGCCTTGGGAGGAGGGCCCAGCGCCGGTCCGAGAAGTCCGCGCGGGCTTCCGACGGGTTGTTCTTACTCAGGAGGGGAAGAAACACACAGACACAATTAATCGTCGATTCCAAGGAACATATGGGAAAATATGGGAATTGGGCGGGAAGACAAAATCCCAGAAAATATGGAAAATATGGGGAATATTTTTATTTGTGTGTATTTATTTGTGTGTCCCAGGGCCCCTTCAAAGAAGTCCGCGCGGGCTTCCGACGGGTTGTTCTTACCTGGGCCAGCCGTTCCGAACTTCTGCCGGACCAGGGGCGGCGCCTGAGGCACCTGCACGGGGGCCCGAGCGCCGCTCCGAGAGATCCGCGCCGCGGACCTCCGTGAGTGTAGGCTCATGTCCGCGCTCGCTCCCCGAGCCAGACCCCCGACGAAGCCGCACCGCGATCTTTTCCATGGCGTGCCCCTCAGAAGCCGGGGTTTTCTCGTCCCGAGTCGGTTCTTGACGGCCCCGATCAGGGGCAACGATAGGGGGGGACAGGCAAAGGGGCGGATGCATGGACCCCCAATCGCCCATAGATCGCCGATAGGGGCCCGATGGCCCCAACTTGCACAGGAAGGTGCGGATTCACTATCGGGGGCCCATCGCCGACCTGTCAGCCATGTATCGCCGATTCCAGGTCGATGCTCCCTCCCCAGACCCCCGACGTCATGATTTTTTCATGACGCGACCCCCAGAAGTCCGGACCCATTCCCCGGGACCGGCTTTTCGTCCTGAGTCGCTTTTTGACGGTCCTGAGGGCCGGTAAGGGCCCCCGGAGGCCGAAAATAGCGAAAAACCTCGCGTCGTGATTTTTTCACGACTCGAGGGGGTCTGGGTCCCCTAGGCCTATCCCCCCCCTACCGTCGCCCCTCACCCGAGGCCCAGGGAGGGGTCCCGGGAGGCTGACCGGTGAGCCGTGTCCGTCGCGATGGTTTCCAATTAGCGCGGGGGTGTCCTGGGCCGGAGGCCCCTCCGTGCCCCGACCGGTGCCGGAACGCGCTGCGGCCGTCTCGGTGGCTGTCGCGGGTGCTGCTCCTGCTGCTGCTGCTGCTGCTGCTGCGGTGCAGCAGTCTCGCAGGATGGTTGGCTTCTCAGTCCGCCCTCCCGCTCCTCTTCCTCCTCCTCCTCCTCCTCCTCCTCCTCCTCCTCCTCCTCCTCCTCCTCCTTAGCTTCCTCCTCCTCCTCCTCCTTCGCTTCCTCCTCTTCCTCCTCTTCCTCCTCCTCCTCCTCCTCCTCCTCCTCCTCCATTCTCGTGTGCGGTGCTGTCGATTCGGTTGCACCGCTGCACGCTCGCTCGCTCCTCGGAGGCCCTCGGCGCCCGGGGCCCCCGCCCCCCCTCGAGAAGGCGGGGACGTGTCGAAGCGGCTGCTGGAGAGCCGCGAGCGGGGCCGGCCGTTCGGCCACGCAGAGCGGCCGCCCTGGGGCGGCACGAACAAAAGGCGCAGAGAGTGCACTCGGGGGGGTGGCCAGGAGCTCACTGAGGATAGAAAGAACCCCCAGCCTCTGTTCATGACTAGGGGAAGGAACAAGGACATGAACATAAAAACTCGGAGGTCCGCGCGGATTTCTCGGATCGGCGCCGGAGCCCCCTGGCGGCGCCTCCGGCGCCGCCCCTGGCGCGCTCCGCGCGCCAAGGAGGGGGGTCCAACGCCGATCCGAGAAATACGCACGGACCTCCGAGTTTCATGTTAATGTCATTGTTTGTTCCCCTAGTAACGCGATGAAGACGCAGCCTCTCTGAGGTCCCCGTCTTCGCAGTAGTGATGACAACCCTGGGCGGTTTGTTTCGATGCACCTGCAGAAGCCATGCCTTATCTCTGATGTTCCTGGCCCTCTTAGCTCAGGTCCCCTCCCAAAGGGTTAGGGGTCCTATTTGGTCAATCGTGGGTGGGGTGAGGGCCTGTCCCTCTACAGGAGGAATATTCAAAAGTAGTCACAACATAGTCAGGGGACGATGTCTCGACTTTCTTGTTGAATATCATTTTAAAGCATTTTTGAACATTTTCGTCCGGAATCCGCCTGTAGGGGGACATGCCCGACGTAAGCGTAGAGGTGCACTCCGAGGTGGCTGGCCAAGAGCGGAGTGATGACTACACGCTGGTCGCTCCCACACCCCCTCGCGCTGTGAAACAATCACGACGGGAGGTTTTTCGCAATTTTCGGCCTCCCGGGGCCTTTCCCAGGCATCAGGAGCGTCAACACAAATTATTCAGGACGACAGACCGGTCCCCAGGAAGGGGTCCAGACTTCTCAAGGGCACTTCATAAAAAATCACGACGTCGGGGGTCTGGGTTGAAAGCAGGTTATTTGTTTTTTGGGATTCCCAGAGCCCAGTCTACCTCAAGTGTTTTCGTATTTCAAGAATCGGCACGGTTTTGATGAGTTCTAGTCTTCTCCGGGAGGGCCTGGACCCAATCTTATGTATCCGCCTCCCTGCTTCATGTCTTTTCCTACTTCTTCCGACCGACGGGGGGGGTGAATTTCATGGCGGGGGCCATGAGATCTCCCCAGATTTCATGGCGCCTCTTGTGATGCCGACACGTCCCGGGCCTCCTTCCTGGGCCGCGCACGTGCCGCCGGCCACGATTGGCGCCCCCCCCCCGCCCCCTTCTGGGACGCCCCCGATGCACGGCGGCGGCGGCGACGGCGGCGGCGACGACGGCGGCCGCGGTGACGGTGACCTCAGAATTCCGAGGAGGGGGAGGGGGAGGAGGAGGAGGAGGAGGAGGAGGAGGAGGAGGAGGAGGAGGAGGAGGAGGAGGAGGAGGAGGAGGAGGAGGAGGAGGAGGAGGAGAGGAGGAGAATGCTGTATGAGCAGAAGCTTTCGGATCTCCGCGCAGATTCCTCCAATCGGCGCTGGACCCCCCCGGCGGTGCCTCCGGCGCCGCCCCGGGCGCGCTCCGCGCGCCAGGGATGGAGGGCCAGCGCAGATCCGAGAAATCCGGACGGAGCTCGAACATTTTTTGTGATCATGCTTTGTGATGTTCCAGCCTAGTTTGCCTTGACCACCAGAAAGAATTCCGAGCACCACGAAAGTACAGGAGTTTGAGGGTGTTCACGTGTCGGGCCCTGGGAGGCGATACTCGTTCGACACTGTTTGGACACTTTCCTTTGGGCGCTCGAAATTGATTCTGGGATGGGAGCAACATAAATCATGCTTTTTGTTTGTCCCTCGACCCTGGACTTATGATGCTCCAACCTACTTTAGCCTTGATCACCCGAGCGCCCCAAAAAGTACCGAAACTCAAGGGTTTTCACGTGCCGGGCCCTGGGAGACACTCGCCCGACACTGTTTTAACACTGTTTCGACACTCTTTTGAGTCTTTTTCGGGTGCTCGAAATTATTTCTGGGAAGCGGATCACATCCATCCCATCCATCCCCATCCATCCATCCCATCCATCCCATCCATCCATCCCATCCATCCCTCCTCGCCCGCGCCCTCCTCCTCGCGCCTCGCCCTCTCAGCCTACCACCTCCTCCTCCTCCTCCTCCTTCTCCTCCCCCTCCTCCTCCTCCTCCTCCTCCTCCTCCTACACACCTCGTCGCCGTGAAACTCATCACAGCGGATGCGTCCGTGTGTGGCCCCACGGCCCTCGCAGGGCCCCGAGGCCGTCGGAGGGCGGCTCGGGGTGAGGCCCCGGCCCCGGGGGTCGGCACTTCTGCGGGGCCCGCAGCGGAACAGTCGAGGCTTCGGACGTCTTGGGTGACGGTGGCGGCGGCGGCGACGCGGATCGTCACCGCGCACCAAACCACCCAAGCCCAACCCGAAGGCCTCAATCTGCTTTCCATTTCCAGTAGGGGGGGGTCGTGGAACATGGAAATCACACGTGGAACCCGTACCCCCCCAACCCGAAATTCTGATCAAATCTGGGTCTTCGGGTTGGGTTGGGGTGGTCTGGCAGGTGGTCAGATCGGCCGCCGCCGGGGGCACATTTTGTGTCGTATAGATATGTTTCTAGCTATCTATGCTGTGCAATCGGTGTTGGACAGTCCATGTGGCGCAACCTGTGTGGTGCATCTCATGCGTACTGTTTATGTGGTTCGGCTGACATGAAGCAATCAAGGTGGTACGATCAATGCGGTGCAATCTAGGTTGTGCGATCTATGTTGTCAACTCTATGTGGTGCAATATATGTTGTGCAATCTATGTGGGGCAAGCTATTTGAAGCAACCAGGTTGGTGCAGTCAAGCTGGCGCAATCTATGCCGTGGACTCTATGTCGAGCAATAGAAGTGGTGCGATGTATGTTGTGCAATACATGCGGTGCAATCGCTGTTGTGCAATATATGTGGTGCAACGTATGTGGAGCATTCGATCTATTTGGTGCAGTAGATGTGGTGCAATACTATATGTTGTGAACCCTATGTGGGCCAAACTATGTGGTCAATGCAACCGACGCGGCGCAATCAATGTGGTGCAATCTATGTGGTGCAGTTGGTTTTAACCCACGAGTTGACGCATCCCATACTTTACTGAACATCCCACCCACCCACCTGCAACTGGGTTTGCAAAACCCATGCGGTGGCGATTGTGACGCATGCTTGGCGTTGGCTGGTGCATCTCTGCGGCCGCGCCGACCCTGACACGCGCGCGCAGCGGCCAGCTAGTTTGCCGCCGCCGACGCGGCCGCGGTGGCGCTGACCGCTGGGCGCGTCCCAGCGGGCACTTCGCTGCGAGTCGACGACTTGGGCGGGCGCGATGGCATCGCCGACAATGGTAGACTAGACGCGATGATGATGGTGGCGATGCTGGTGGCGATGCTCGTACCGAAGAAGGCGCGGCCAGTGCGGGCGCCGATGCTGATCGCGCCGACGACGATGACGGCGTCCTCGAGTCGGCGATGAAGGTTTTGGAAAGAGTTCGACGCGCGCTCGCGCGGTGGACGCGCGAGAGTGGCCCGCATGGGTTAATTTGACGCCGATCGTGCGCCCCCCCTAGCACGCGCGCAAGGTAGTGCGAATGATGTCGGCATGCGGCGCCAAAGGCCTGTTTGGCAGAAGTCCATGCCGCCGTTGAGAAAAACGATGGTTGTCTGAAGAATTCGCAAGAGCGCGCACGTTTTTTTGAAAACTGATGTTGCGAACCTTGTTTTGTTGATTGTGTGTTGGACATTCGGTTTTGAAATCGTTGCGAAACGGCTGGGTTTTTGAAGGGTTTCTGCATGCGCGCGCGCGACGACGCGCGCGCGCGTACATGTCGTTCCAAAGGATTCTCGCGACGGCACGCGCGCAAAGGCTATCGTACGATTTCGACGCGCGCGCGAAACCCGCTTGGTAGTTAAGTAATAGAAACTTTAAGAATCAGTGTTGCGTAACCATGTGCTTTTGTATGTTTGTCTGGTCTCTCGATTTTGCAATCCTTGCGCAACCGTCAAGAATTTCGGCATGAGCGCGCGACGGCGCGCGCGTGTGCACATCGTCCCGTATTTCGTTCGGGATGTGGAAACGGAAAATTTTTGATAAACGGGACCGCGCGCATAGTTTATTTTTGGAGAGGATTGCGGGGGGGGGGGGTCGATCCCGGCTGGGCTGGGATGGTACGAGTTCATATTTCGGATGGACCATGGGGCAGAATCAGTTGTAACTTGCAATATGAAAAGTTAAACCGGTAAAGCCGGGGGGCACCCTAATTTTTGAAAAATAGTGGAGACTCATTTTAGCAACACTTATTTTCCAAACGTCAACCCACCCACCTGCAACTGGGTTTGCAAACCCATGCGGTGGCGATTGCGATGCATACTTGGCGTTGGCTGGTGCATCTCTGCGGCCGCGCCGACCCTAACGCGCGCGCAGCGGCCAGCTAGTTTGGCGCCGCCGACGTGGCCTCGGTGGCGGTGACTTCTGGGCGCATCCCAGCGGGCACATCATTGCCAGTCGACGACTTGGGCAGGCGCGGTATCATGGCAACGCCGACAACGGTAGACGCGATGATGATAGTAGCGATACTGGTGACGATGTTCGCATCGGCGAATGCGCGGCCAGTGCGGGCGCCGATGCTGATCGCGCCGACGACGATGACGACGTCCTCGCGTCGGTGTTGAAGGTTTTGGAGAGAATTCGACATGCGCGCGCGGCCGACGCGCGAGTGTGGCCCGCGTGGTTTAATTCGTCACGAATCGTGCCCCCTCTCCCAGCATGCGCGCAAGGGCGCGCGAACGATGTCGGCACGCGGAGCGGGAGGCGTGTTTGGCAGAATTCCATGAACAACTGCTGTTTCTAAAGAACTCGCAAGAGTGCGCGCGCAAGTTTTTATAGGTTTCTCGTTGTTCATATTTTTGGTTGAAAACTGATGGTGCGAGACCATGTGTTTTTGTCCCACTGTTTCTTTGCATTCGGTTTTGAAACCGTTACGAACCCGAAGGTTTTGAAGGATTTGGGCATGCCCGCGCGACGACGCGCGCGTGTGCACTTC